ACGCGCAAAAGCTACTATGGGAATGCATTGCTGTTGCTAACTGTTGCTAAGTAAACTATTTGTTTATTTTAGTACATGGTAGAATTTGGTTATACAACTCTGTGTCGGTATCTATGGCCTTATCATACCTCGGGCCTACGGCCCTCGGTATGATAAATGCCATAGATACCTCCACCTCGTTGTATAACCTTTACATAACTATAGCTACTCAATGAAAATACGGAAGTATCCTGAATGTGACTCTTCAATTTTACGCGGTGATGAAGCAGGGGGTATTGCACAGTAGGACACTCTCCTCTAATTATTATCTACTCTTGCTAATATCTATGCTTATTCTTTGCAAAAGCAACGCATCATGAACAATCATACCTGCTTGTTCCTTTCTCTGAACGAGGTGAGGACTTTGGGGATTATACGGAGCTCAGTCGCTCTTGTATCTGCTCTATCATGCATTGGAGCTATAGTATTGGTCCTACTCCTGGCTAGGAAGCAATGGCGTCGTTTTAAATTTACCAAAAGACTTTCTCTCTACCTCACAATACTGGCACTCTTGTATTCTGTAGCAACCACATTCCAGTGGGTCTCAAGCAGTGCCATAGACGAACAGCCTGGAGGGGAGCAAGGCTGCAAAGCTGTAGCTTTCTTTGTTCAGTATTCAAGCTGGAGTTTACTTGTCTTTACTTTTCTATTGACACTCATTCTGTTCATTACAGTTTATAAGCGCAAGGAACCACACTATAAACGATGGGAGATCGGAACACTGCTAGCATCAATCTTATCGCCACTGATAACAGTATGGATACCATTTATCAATGACTCTTATGGTCTATCGGGTATATGGTGCTGGATAAGAAGTCACGATTCAACTAACTGTACAGTATTTCTTCCAGGAGTAATTGAGCAGATTGCACTGTGGTATGCACCTCTTTCAATACTAATGATAGCATCATCAATACTTATGTTTATGACCATTGGCAAGTACATATACTTAGTATTCAAGCCTTGTGGTTACCAAACAATTGATGCTGATTTACGGTATCAAAACAGCTTTAAGGACTACAGTCCATTAGTGGTTTATCCAATCGTTTTCTTTTCCCTTAACATCATTGCTTTGTCAAGTCGCATTGCATCCACACAATATGTATTTCCTAAAGGTTTGCTGTACATTCATTCTATCGTTGATCCTTGCTGGGGATTAATTGCTTCAATTGCAACAATAATCTACTCTGTGAAGTTTTAGAACATGAGAAGCAAAAGCAAAACACTTCAATAAACTATTTAATATTAGCAATGCATTATATTGTTGACATTTTAAAAGTAAAAACTGTTTTTGTGCAGCTAACAATTAATAACTAGAAACTCCATCAAATCTAATAATAACCCAAGCCCACATTAGAGGTGTGTCCAATGGAAGATTAGGAAATGAAACTTGGACAACTCCATTGCTGGAAGTCTCAAAATTAACTTTACCATAACCAAGCATTGTAGCAGTGCTGCCTGATGAGGCTTTCACTGATCCCAGTTTAAGAATATTATCATCAGGCCACTCCAAGGCAATAGCATATACATGTACAGCATTGTAAGAAGTGGTGTACCTTGATGAAAATAAGTGGTAGAGTCATGTATAGCATACAAAGTATCTTACCATACATTTCCAGTGCTGCTGTCATTTTGATGAGTCCATGGTTTACTACTATAAATTGCTTCACCATTAATTTTAAGCCATGCTCCTGATATAAGATCAGTGACATAAATTTGTAGCTATAAATGTAATACCTAATTGTGCGAGTCTTTTCTCAAATACAGGTACAATTCTTCCATCATGAGTTGGTCCAATATTTATTAATGCATTACCACCACAACTATTATGATTAAAATAATGTCAAACAAAAAATTTATCAGTAATACTGTGATTTATTACCTAACTGTTGACACTACTTCTTCTAGTATTTCTTCAATTGTATAATAATCACTCAGGACTGCATCACGTCTATAACCCCATGACGTTTTATCCATTGAAAATGCATTCTCCCATTTATGTTTCTGCAAAGTTCCTATTAAAAGTGCAATTTCCATCTAGATGCTTCAAACTTGTGCATGCATACTTGGATTATAATGATCTCCACAATTAAAAAATCCTCCGTGAGTGCAGCGACTGCCTTTACCCCATCTATCATTAACAATAACATGGTCTTTCACTGGGCTATTAAGATATTAAAAATAACAAAAGACCACCAAAGCTTGTAGTTAACCTCTCATTGTAGACCCATGCCAGAAACTCAGTGCTATTCCAGTATGTGTCTGGAGCTTCCCATTCACCATCAGACCAGATGATGTCAGGCTTGTAAGCATTAACTATCTCTACCACCTGAGGCAATGTTACTTCCTAAAAAATAAGTTAAATAAAAAACTGTAACAGCATAATTAATTTGAAATTTACTTTAGGGTACACCTGTGTATTGAACCCATTAGCTCTCTCTTCAATATAAATGGGATTAAGCAGCTCAAACATACAATAATACAATCCAAAATAAATGTCAGTGCTGTTCCTTATGGCGGCTGCTAAGTCATTCACAAGATCTCGGTGAGGGCCAGTATCCACAGAATTCCAGTTCCATGATGCCTTGCTAGGCCAATTAGTAAATCCTTCCAAATGCTTACTAGTCAAAACTACATATCTATAACAGGAGCAAAATACACAACGCAAGAGTGATGAGACTTTACTTTGCACCAGAGTTCTGCAAGAGGCTAGCCCATTTATTAGGATCAAAAAGCTCAGCTTTAAACATTGGAGCAAAATCAGGATAAGTGAAATCTGGAGGATAGTTCTTCTCCATGAAAGCAACAGTAGGAGCCTTTTTACTACCTTTCCAATTATACCAGAACCACTCAGCATAATCTCCACCACCAAAGCTTGGTACAGAGAAGACACCCCAATGCAGAAATATGCCTATCTTTGCTTCGTCGTACCATTCGGGTAATGGCCGCTTATCAAGTGAATCCCAAGTAGGTTGATACTGAGAGCAAGAAACAGCAAAGAAGAGAGATAAAATGAACAGAGATGCCCTCTCCATAATCATGCAAAATAAATGAGCCACGCCCAAAGGCATATTTTTTTCATTTTTTCCGCTATTCAATCAACAATTCAAAAATAATATAGCTGCTATTATTAATTTTTAGCATTATTAAAACAGTACGTATAGCTGATGACAGTTAAAAGAGAAACGAATAATAAATAATAATTCCGATTACTATGATGAAAATAGCCAGTAACGTCTTCTTCCTACAACGAAAAAGAAATAAATTCAAACTAAAAATAAAGCATAAAAGTAATGCTTTATTGATACAACAAAGCGTACATTAAATAATAAAAAAACAGTACTACTGCTACTCACCCCATGTGCTCTGAGAGTTTAAAGCATATAGAAATAATGGAAAGCATGTAAGACAGGAACGGGACAAAGATACTACGCGCCAAACCATTTCTGACTGGTTTGGGGATAAGAGCATCAGTGTTAGTTACCTTAACCTCCAGTGAATGAAGCTAGAGAATCAAGAAAAGAAAAAAAAGAGATAAAGGTTAACAAACAATAATAAAATTACTGGCAAAATACAGCACATATAGTGTAACTCACTCTCGCTTGACAGTTTTCAATATTATCTTCTAAATCTTGACTTTTACCAAATGAGAGTCTCTCCATTTGTGCTAGCTGTCCTCTAAGCTCAATAATGCCATTCTGATGAAGATCAGTCAATGTGTTGAGCTCATTCTCTAGACGCTGTAGAAATAATAAAGGTGTACATGCACACGTATAAACACTGTATTTATGCACATGTACATGTAGCTATAGAGACTACAGATAATACAGGCTACAGAGAATTTGGAGAAACTTTCAAAATTCATAAAAAATCCAATTTTGATTGGAATCAGTTCAAACTTGGTTCACGACATAAGATCATGTATATGCATCAGAAAAAATTATAAAAATGCAGAATTTTCTCTTAGCCATTTTTGGTGAAAATTGGCCAAACCCCCTGGACTATAGTACAGGGACTTTGGCCCGATTTTTGAGTAACTTTAAAAAATCATTAAAAATCCAAACTTGATCAGAACCAGCTCAAACTTGATACACAACATAAGAACATGTATATGTATCAGAAAAAAATATAAAAATGCAGAATTTTCTCTTAGCCATTTTTGGTGAAATTTGGCCAAACCCCCTGTACTATAGTACAGGGACTTTGGCCCGATTTTTGAGTAACTTTAAAAAATCATTAAAAATCCAAACTTGATTGGAATCAGCTCAAACTTGATACACAACATAAGAACATGTATATGTATCAGGAAAAAATATTAAAATGCAGAATTTTCTCTTAGCCATTTTTGGTGAAATTTGGCCATAGACTACCAATTAAAAGTACACATACAATGCACATCTATTCTCAGTTCAATAATCCCTGTAGCCTCATATGCATGTACAATACATGTACATGTATTACATTAATATCATATCAGACCTCACACCATCAATTAATAATAAAACACTCACGTCAGTCTTATCCTTCTCTTGCTGTAGCTTCTCCAATAACAATGCATGGTCTTGCTGTATCAGTGACACTGTTTTCTGCAAAAAACAAAACAATTACATGTAAAACTCTCAAATAAGTTATGGCCATAAAAAATTAGAAAAAAACACAGTCATGTACATGCCACATAAATAAAACAGGTAATTGACAGAAAGCACGAGAAACGGTACATGTACAATATGTTTAAAAACTCTACCTTGTGCTCATTAATTATATCCATAAGATTAGTGTACTCATTCAAGCAGTACTCACAAGGAGGATCGTCTTCCTTCATATCTCTAAGCAGAAAAGACACACATCACATGACAAATGATCACATGACACTCACATGTGGTGGTCGTCGTTAAAGGACGCGTGTGAATCAGCCTCAATGTCATCTACAGGATGGCTACAAGGAGAAGATAATGGAACAGTAGGGTGACCATGTACTTACTATGTCTCTTCTTCTTCATCGTCATCTTCAACATCAATGACAGCTACATAATAAAGGAATGATTGAGGGATAAATACATTGTATGTAAAATGATGAAATAGATTAAGGGGGTACATTCATTATGTATGAGTCGAGAAAATACAGAAAGGGAATGCAGCAAAGAATCGCATACCTTCATCTTGATTGGGGCTATTTGGTGTTTTCTTTCTTCTTAAACTACAAAAGAATAATACAATAAAATTCCAATAATAATAATAATCAACATGAAATTAATGCATACTTGCATAATAATAATAATAATAACAATAATAATAATAATAATAATAATAATAATAATAATAATAATGTGTGCACATGCTGAACTTACATTTTTATTCCATGCTTCACACCTCTATCAAAAACAAAATATAAAAATAAGTACATACATGTACACGGTATGCTAATGGTATATATCTTACCCAGATCCTAAGTGTCTTATTCGACTGAAGTGATTCCTAACTTTATTGTACCTCATGTGGTGAGAGGTGACCACTAGGTGACCTCTTCCTTGCTTGATCTCTTGAAGCTGCTCCTCATAGTGCTCCACCTTCCTCTTCAACTGGTCAATCTCATCCTTTGATTTCGCTTGTTTGCTAATGAAATGCTTCTTGATCCTAAAATAAAAGGTACATTCATACTCCTATCCATTAGCAATTCTATCAATGGCATTCTACATATATGTACATGTACACACAAATTTTTGGAAGTCTGATGTCTGATTCAAAAGAAATGTGATATGAATAATATACAATTTGATACAAAATCATCATTTCCCAGTCTGTGAATAATTACAATGGATAATTATTACAGGTTAATACATTAATAATAAAAATAAAATTTAACCATATGAAGTGGATCAGTAACGATGTCACTGAATGTGTTGAACGACTATGACATTAACAGGTTGCATACATATACAGTACACAGCTAATCAACAGAATAGTGTCAAAAATACGCACACACACACACACACACATGTACATGTACATGTATATAAAAACTACCTGTGCTGTTCCTTATCACTATTTGACTCCTCCATTCCAACCACATACACGTTCTGTGCCTCCTGTAATGCCGTCTCTTCCTCTTGCAGCAACTTTTTATATTTCTCTAGTTTCATTTGTATCCTTGCTATCCTCTCAGCTCTCACTTCGCCCTCTCTATCACCAGACTCCGTATCTTCCTCTTCCTCTGGATCCTGTAATGCACATGTACATAATATCAAGAGTACATAATACCTAATAGGTTACATAATAGGTATTATCTACTCTTGATAATATAATAATGACTTAACCTGTACAATGATCAAAGGGCTAGACATCATAGTCATCATTATTATATCAAGTCTACATGACATAAACTGTCACGGTAGAAATGAAACAATTATTTAATTCATCATTCCTATCATTGCTAAAGTGTCATTAAACACACACAAGTACATGTAGTATGTGATTAATGATCAAGGCTGACCTCATCATGACTGGCGTGTATTGCATCACGCAGTAGGCCAGGATCAGACGTATATCCATCATCACCGCTGTAATGATGATGATGGTGTCTGTTTCTTGAACGATCGGACCCTTTGCGACGTATTGGATGAGGCCTGGGATTTTAAAAAGCAAAAATAAGACAATTATCATAGTATAATAGTACATGTATGATATATTAAAGGTTTATGATTCATGAATTATCCATACTAGTCTAGCAAATGTAAGGATATCAATAATAATCATAAGCATAACATGAACAAATTAAAGTCAGGAATTATTCTCAAAAAGGAATAATGTTGTTACACGTATGTATAAAGCTAAAACAATTTTGGCACATCAAAGCTCAAAATAAGAGAGGGCAGCACCTTCTGAAGGCAGGATGAAGGACTCGGGGATGGCGCTTGATCTGTTTCATGACTTTACGAAATATACGAGACCTTTCATTAGTCTCAAGATCACCAGGAGGATGATCAATACCACCAGGGGTAGCCTCAGAGGACAGGTTTGTGACTGATGACAACTAAAAATAACAGAAAATAAAAATAAAAATTTACAGTATGTTGTAGGAGAAATTAATAAGGGGAAAGAAAAGCTGTAAAAGAGAAAGATAAACTATTGTACATTACCTCAGCTTGTACTGTGCTAGCGGATACACCTGCTGCCTGAGGACCTGATGGTATTCTTAGCAACTTCTTAACACCTAAAACACACACACAGATTAAATTTAAATTGAACAGGCAATTTATAATTTTACATTAAGCTTACATTTATTGAATGCTACATCATGGTATGTTAATATGGTATGTAACAGAACCACAAAAACCATGAAAAACAAAGCATTACACTACTGCACATTATGTACACCCTAACATTAGTCTGCCAATATATATACATGTATAGGTGTGGAGGAAGAACGAATAATAATAGAAGCCATGTCAACATGATTATCAGTTTGAATACTTTCCTTTACTATAGACAGACATTTTGACATCATAATTTTAGGTCATAACAATGACATTAACGTTCAGCTGTGTAGACTACATTTATATACTGTACATGTACACATTGCATGTACAATACAGTACAATGATTACAATCTTCAAAAGCAACACAGAACCATCAGTTACATATAACAAACATGTAAACATTATCTACTCTTGGCAATGCTAATAGTAACATTAAATTAGGACTATATTAATCAGTAGTAAATATACTAACAACAAGAATCTCATAATTGATATCTAGAATAGGCAATTACCACACACACGATACATGTACATGTACTGTAGGCAATTCCCAAATCCCAATAGTCCAATAATGATTACAAACAGATCTTAATGTACATGTATATGGACTATTTAACAGTCACTCAATGATAGAGTATAATATAAACTAATCTATAGTTTATAAATGTTACATGTATATGTACATGTCTACAAAGCTTTTGTTGACATGCAGTTTCACTATGTGGCTAAAATACTATGACAGTTAAAACCTGCTTCCAGTCATGTTATGATGATTGCGATCATGTGATACTAGTCACACTACAATTGATGTATACTACAAGGCAGCAAAGAGGCTTTACTATAATGTGACACTACATAACAGAGTAACAGCTATTCTTATGGAGTAGTCACTGCCAGAAGTACATCATCAATGATAGTATGTATGATGTAAATAAATGTAAGACACATATACCCTACATTATCTACTCTTTGTGAAGCTCATTCCAGAAATGATGACATACTTTCCTTCTAATTTGTCATATTGTCATGTGGCATTAAGGGATGCTGCTTTTGTCTAAAAAATATTCATAAAAAGAATGAAACATCATCCATGAAAGATGGTTGGCATGGACTTTCATAATCAACGGAAAGTCTATACGCACTCCAACCGCTGTGTCACTGATGTGATTCATACTACCATACATAGAGATGTGTATATATATCACTGTTAATCTAATTGAAAGCTAAACAGGTGGGTCAATATAGCATCACTAAAAAATAATGAGACAAAATGCATCTATGCAACTCCTCCACAAACAAAGTGCCCATACAATGGTTACTTTCACGCACAGAAAAATAAGCAGCACTTTACAGCAAAGCAAAACTGTAAGATCATTATGAGTACATTTGTAAATGATCAAAAAGCAATGATATTTTTCTCATTACCACTATTGGTTGTAGCTTTATCCAAATATGTGTGTACAACATTATGGGTATTAAAAATGTACTCATTGACTATACTAAACACTTTACTTATATACATACTGTTACCAGTTTGGGACAGAGTTTATTAAAAAGCATAAGAGTACTGAATTAAAAGTACAAGTAAATTGTGTTTTAGTTCATACTATGCAGGTATACAACACAGCTAGCTACATTCTAAGAATGACGTACATACATACCTCCTACAAATCGTCCAGATGCAGGCCTCATGATCGGAGAGGCAGTTGGGGTACCATGAGTTTCAACCTCACGTATAGAGACCAGCTGTGGTGTCATACTAGTAACAGAGCCTCCTCCCCCTCCTGTATAATAATAATGAGAATAATTAGGAGACAAAGACGAGGAGTGATGATGATCCCCTATCGAGTCCATGGCACCAGGAGAGCTAGACCTCCTATCGCTCAATAGACTACTGGTCACACTGTTCACCGAGGTGGAGTGATCATTATTGTTATTATTGAGGGAGTTTGGTTGATGCTGTACTGTAGAGAGGTCAAAAGGAGCAACGGGAGAAGAGGTAAGAGGAGGTAAGGAGGAAGACGAAGACAAGTGAGACAGGGAGTAGCTGCTTGGAGGTGAAGCCATGATGAAGAACAAAGATTAAAAGAGGGGTCCACTCTTAAAAGACCAGCACTATCTCATGACAAGTAAAATATACCGTCTCGATGTAACAGGCCACGCTAGCTACTAGTTACTCAATGATACTGACACAGAGATACTGAGAAACAAAATACTGTCTTTTGACGGCCCACAAGAGAACAATCAGGGCGGGCGTGGTTTCACAGGTCATTAAAGTTCAAACTCCTCCCATCATTAGATTGTCTATATTAATGCACACGTGACTACACGTGGATGATGTTGGGTGTGGCTCACAGCTCAGCTATTAACAACACTAGAGATGCTTAGGCTGCTATTTTATTTATTGAGTTCTATTTTCATTATTTCTGCTCAACCTTTCCCTTTTACTGTCAAGGTATAGTCTACGTGTTGCAATATATTTATCATTGAATATTTCTTAGGAAGACGATGCCTCTGTCAATGTAACATTTGGAGAGAGCAAAGTTATTGCAAGGAAGGCTCCTTGGCAATTGCAGATGCTCCTAAATGACCAGCCTATTCTAACAGAAGCAGTCAAATCTGGAAAACAGCTGGTAAAACAATTACAATTAATAATTTACTTGACTTTAATATAGGGCTTTGGCATATGGGATGGTGTTTATTTGGATATTTATGAAGGATACCTATTCAGATTAGGTTGGATTTCTCATTGGTATAATGCTAAGAACATCACAAGCTGGTCTTCATCAAATCATTCAGTGTCACTTTTGGTTTCGTCAGATGATCCCAATGGACGGCAAATCAATGTAACACTGTTTGATTTTGAAGAGAGGCAGTTTCGAATGAATGCAACAGTAGTGGGTAGCAACGCCTCAGATATGTAAGAAACAGAGTTAAGTATTTGAATGCTATTCTCTTATTGTAGCAATAGATTTAGCATTGGTTTTAGTACACCAGAAGAAGAAGGATTTTACGGCTTTGGTGAGAGATTCACAAAATGCAATCAGAGAGGTCATAGAGTTGGATCATGGCTTGAAGATGGGTCTTGGGGCCTTGGTCTGTTTGATATGGCTACGTCATCACTAAGAGTTAGTACTTTTGAATAAACTGTTGTAAAGTTATAGTACTGTTTAAAGGTACCTGCAGGTGAAGAATCTACTTACTGTCCAATGCCTATACTCTACTCTAATTTTGGATATGCTATTCAGTTTGACACTTATTACAGGTTAAATCAATTAGATGCATACAGGGTTTTCCACAGAATTTTGGCATAGTGTGCATAGTTTGAGTAGATTCTAATCAAAATTGGATTTTTAATGAATTTTTAATGTTGCCTTAAAGCCATGCACATGTACTGTATTGTAGTGCTTGCCAGCTCATGAAGTTCATGCTGTTTAGCTCAATTGTGGGAAACCTTGGATACATATGAATGCTCAATTAACTTTATTGCACAGAACTGTATTTGATCTTGCTAAGACTACTGATGATGTCATGAACCTTGAGCAGGAAACCGATCAGCTCAATCTCATATTCTTTTTGACCGAAACACCTCCAGAAGCTTTCTCAAAGATTAGTAAAATCAATGGACGGTCATTGATACCTCCTCTGTGGGAAGTATGTGGATACTACTTAATGTTTTTTTGACAGTATCATACAGTTTAGCCCTTGGAATCAGATTCATGATGAGAACTCATCAGTGACAAGTGTACAGCGTATTGAGTAAGATGACACCATTAATTATGGTAATGACAATATTTATTTAATATAGGGATTTCTTCTTCAAATTTGATATACCGTGCTCACATGATGTTAACACTGTTCATTTCTTTCCTGATGGTGGAGAAAAGGGGAGGGAAGATGAGTTAAAGGTAATAATTAAAAATGAGCCTGTAAACATTTTATATTACACAGGCACAGAATGACAAACTTATATCTTTGGGTGTCAAAGTAACCATCATTATGTACATGTACATGTTCATACTCTATTATTATAGAGCACAGCTTACTTTAATCCAATGGTAAAAACAACTTATGCAGAGCTTTACGATGATGCTGCAGCAAAGGGTTACTTTCTCAAGAATCAAAATGGTGACATATACAATTACACTTATGAAGGAGCAATGTGAGCTTATAATGCAATTATTAATACTTAATGCCCTGATAAAATGATAGGAGTTTTTTCGTGTCTCAAGTTGACTTTACTAATCCTGAAGCTGTTAGCTGGTACCAAGCTCAGTTAGCAAGAGCTGTCAATTTATCGTTTCACGGATGGATGTATGACTATGGTGAATATACACCTTATGATTCTGTAGCCAGTGATGGAACAAAAGGTGGGCTCTTAGCCTCTTACATATCATACTGAAATTTATTATAGTATCTGATAGGTCTTGAAATGCATAATAAAGTTAGTCATTTGTATCAAAAAGCAGCTTTTGATTACCTCCTTCGTTTGGATCAAACACCTGGTGATTCTTATGCTCCAGACTATGTATTTTATGTTAGGTATATTCAATCAAATATTGATGCAGATGAATTTGAAAAAAAAATTTTATAGATCAGCATACACTGCTGCACAGAGATACACATGGGCACAATGGACAGGGGACCCTTCATCAGACTGGTAAAAAACTAATTGAATAATTGGTTTAATTATATTGATGATATTCCTTTAGGAGTTATGCAAGTGGTTTACCAGCTCAGATAACAGCAAGTTTAAATATAGGGCTCTCTGGTATGCCTTTCTCTGGCTCTGATATTGGTAATAGAATTGAAAATGATAGTAATGATAATGGTTATATATCATTACAATCATAGGAGGGTTTGAATGGTATGTTGACCTTGCTCCAGATGAAGAGCTCTGGAGTCGATGGACTGCTGCTGGCTGTGTGAGTGGATTAATGCATGAACAAGGTATGCATAGCCTATGAATAACAATAATATAACATTATTGTGTAGGGGGAGGTAAAGGACTTGGACCCAAAACTCACATTTTTGACTTCCCAAATGGAACTAGTACTTGGAGAAAATTTGCTAAACTCCGAATGCAGTTATTTCCATACATATACACACAAGCACACATTGCTCATGAGGTTAAAACATACACCTCTGCTCCAATTTAGTATTATTCATTGTAGACTGGATTACCAATAATGAGGCATCATATACTTCATTTCTGGAATGATGTTGGAGCTATGAATCAAGAGCATCAGGTATATATAGCAAAATATTCAATGTGAGCCATCCTGTATTGATTGCATTTGTCTAGTTTATGTTTGGTGAGTCATTTCTTGCTGCCCCAGTTATTGAACAAGGGAGGACTACTAACTGGCCAGTGTATTTACCTAGCTACAGGTCATCTAGTATAGAGGGACCAACATGGGTCGATGTAAGTTCAAACTTTCAATATGATGAGGATGACGGTCGATATAGAATAGGATCTGGAAAATACTATGACGGAGGATAGTATGTTTGAGTTATATTTCCTACAATTTCATTACAATGTATGTGTGTTTAGTGATGCATTTATTGATGTACCACTGGATAGAGTGCCACTCTTTGCTTTGGCTGGGAGTATCATCCCAATTGCTGATCCAAGAATCATGACACTCAACAATGCTACAAATTCATCTGTTATTACATATGAGAGCTTAAAAGTATTTTTGCAGTAAATTAACTCTTCATTTTACATTTTACTAGCACCTTCGTTATTTGTGGGTTTTTGCTGATAAAGAGTTTAATGCCACTGGCCATTGCTGGGACACAAACTTATACCAACTTATACACAGCAAAGCAGATGAGCTGGAATGGTTTGTGAGTGGCTCACCACCAGGTTATACCCATATACTTCAAATAGCAGGACCTTGGACCTCATCAGGTTACATAATGCTAATAAATAAATATTTTAATTGTGTTTGTAATCTTTTTAGGGTTACCATCACAAGTTTTGGTTAGTGGTGGATCAGGATTGAAAGGTGCAGATGGTTGGAAGGATTTGCTGGGCTCTAATTCAGAGTCTTTCTATTATGACAAAGAACAAGAGGTTTTGTGGGTGCAGTTAATTGAACACACTAATGCTACTATTGTCATGCAACACTGAATGCTATAGCTAGGGCTTCTTGCTTTGATTTTTGAGATAATAATTTGAAATAATAATTACAAATACAAAGGCTTAAAAATCCATTATTTTGTGATTGATGAAACTAAGACTGAACAGAACTGACTCAAAAATTAAAAGCACTAAAACATATTGTAAAGATTACAATTAAGACATCATTACAAATGCATATAAAAATAATAATGATATCTACAATCAAAGTAATATTCCTAAAAAATATAGACACATCACAGTAGACTACTAATAATTAAAGGTAATAAGATAAGCTGGATAACATTTGTCATGATCATATACAATATAGACCTGAGAACCACCAGTCAGACCATTTACACTGTCATAATTTCCCCTGCCATCCTCTTTTCTTGGCGGAATGATTAATGAGGTATCACTCTCCATTGCTTTACTGTCACCAGTTAAAACAAAAGCTAAGAATATTTGTTGACCTTGGGATGAACGAAAAGCATAAGAATCTCCAGAGTAGCTGGCATTAACTGCAAAATATGCTCCTCTCCCCCACATGCCTTGGCCAGCATGACGAAAATCAAAGCCATGCTCTGATTTGTGTATTGTTTCTGGAGCAACACTACGACTTCCATGAAATAACCATTTCTCATTTACCTGCCCATTATTCTTCTCGTGCATCCTTTTCTTACACAGGTCATATTTGGAATACAAAAATTTATTCTGGATCCTCTCAATTTTAGAAATATTTGCATTCATTGTTTTCTTAAAAGCACTCACTACCTTTGCCCCCTCGGGAGAACTAACTGGAACTGACTTCAGTTCAATATTGTCAGTTTGTGGCTCCCACTCTGGAGGAAAAGATGATAAGAAAGGACTAGATTGAAGGTTCATTCGCTTTTCTGCTAAAACAAGAAGTACTTCAGCCAAACAATCACTACTGCCAGATATCACAATGCTATCAAGTGATGAATCTACTTTGACACAAAATGATTTTGCTAATTGAATGATGGGCTCAGCAATACCTGTACCAAAGTCTCCAAATGTTTTCTTGACAATCATCCCTTCCAATTTCTCACGTAAATTATCTATAGAAGCTTGGACACCATCTTTCAAGCCACAACAGGATAGGCAGAGGAAAAACAAATCTTGAGGTGGTGTATAAATACGTTTGATTTTACGCTTTTTCTGTGTTTTGGTGTTTGTCTGTTCCATGCTGTCAAAATCATAACTGTAGTTCCATTCTCCAATTTTTCTAGAATATGGCAATTGATGCCTGGCATGACTTGATGTTCGATCCTGATAGAGTTTTTCAATTTCAGCAGAATCAGTAGGACTCATAGGTTGAAACTGATGATCATCAAAAAAATTCCAAGAAACACCACCAGCATCAGAGACATCACCAGTATCAGAGACACCACCAGTATCAGAGACATCACCAGCACTGGAGCTTGATAAATAATCAGAAATACTCTCAATAGTCAATGGGTGAGAACCAGACATCATACTAGCTATGGTAGTGGAGAAAGCAGTCATGGATTTAGTAGAACCATTAGGCAGCATTACACTAAACTTGACCCCATACTGCTGCTCTATATTTTGTAATACTTGAGGATGTTGCAATAATAATGGTATGAACTGGCAATGAAGAACCTTAAATAAATAAAAAGGAGATACATGTAGATCTAGTGTGTACGTTAGCCTGATAATGTGTTGATCGAATTCACACTTACAATATAACTTACATTAGAGCTCATTCACACTCATTCGTTCAATCATTCACAACTCACAAATTTTCGTGTTATATCAGGTCTACTGTACATCAAGGGTGACTGTAGTATACAGAAGACATACATACAAGTCAATGATAAATGTGTATCTTACAGTTGCATCAAAAGGGCCAGTATGTGGATCCCAGCCAACATGCCTATGCATTAAAATAAACAAGTATAATTTTAAGTGAATGATTGGGTATGTTATTATTACAAGAATATGGAATTTCATACATCTACATGTGGACATGAGCAAACACTGTAAAGTGAGTGACCATACATATTGACAATTTGACATACAACACACTTACATGCAACTACTTCCTTCACTATTACTGCCCATTCTTTATTCCAAATTAATTCAAGTTTATTTCATTTATTTTATATCTAGCCCTCCTTTTTTATGTCTCTCAATCAACTTACCTGAAATCAGTTGGTTTCCCAATGTCTGCTTTAGTCAATTTCCTTCCTCCTATTGGTTTGTCATCAACCTCAAGACTGTATCGATCCTGTTTTTTAGTCTTAGCGGGAAGAGTTTTCCTCCTCATGTTTAGGAGTTTTCCTATACCAGAGCCATCAACCTCAAGACTGTATCGATCCTGTTTTTTAGTCTTAGCGGGAAGAGTTTTCCTCCTCATGTTTAGGAGTTTTCCTATACCAGAGCCATCAACCTCAAGACTGTATCGATCCTGTTTTTTAGTCTCAGGAAGAGTTTTCCTCCTGCTTATGGCTAGGAAAAAATAGGAGAAAAGGAAAGTGACAAAAGAGATAAGTACCAATAACAAGGAAGAAAAAAGAAAGACAGCCAGAGACACAAAAAGAGTTGGAGGAAAGGGAGCATGCAGGTCTATGCTAAAAGTCTAGAGACCTTACATGCTCTACATGCATCAGTGATTCCGCTTTCAACAGCAGCATGAAACTTCTCGGCTTCTTTTTCACTGGCGAAGTTGAGACCAACCATGAACTCCTGAGGAGAGAAGAGAAATCAAGTACAATAATTGGGGCATGAAAGAGGGAAGGGAAAAAAGCTTACATGTCCAGGGAATGAGTGAAAGTAAGGACGAGGGTTTGAATAGTGAAATTCCTCATACAGCTCTTGCTCAAAAACTACAGCACGACTCTAAATAAATGAAATTCCACAAATTAGTGTACCAGCTCAATCTATTTTAAATCTAGTTAGTTTTAGTTTTCAACCATTTTATCAGCTATTTTGTTTCATCAAAATTGCTTGAGTAACTTGTAAAGAATGAGAGTTTTAGTATCCATCAGTACATGTTTTAGTTTTACTTGCTACATGCAATTTTATACAAAAACATTAAAAGTAAAAGTAGGAAAAGCATAAAACAAGAGCATAATGCAAACTGGTATAGTAAAAGAAAAAACACTGCATTAAAGATAAAGAGCTTCATCGTGTATTTTTATTCATGGAATCTTTGTGGATAATTATCATGCTTTATCCTTCATGCAATAACAAGAGTGCATGGGTCTACTCTTGGCAAGAGTGGGTCCACTCTTGGCAATGATATTGCTTCCTTCCTTAATGCTTTATTTTAATTCTCCAATCATCAAAATTTAGCAATTCACAAAATTTAACTCCCTCCAAAATTTCCTGCTATACAGTAGTCCTCGCTTATTTTCAGGCCCCGGCCCCATACTATATACTAGGCAACATGTTGCTACCAACATTTGTGGTTACTTTGATCTTGTAAGCAACATGTTGCCAGAAATAGAAGGCTGTTCTATTTCTGGCAACATGTTGCTTAAAAGTTCAAAGTAACCACAAATGTTGGTAGCAACATGTTGCCTAGTGTATAGTATAGGGCCGGGGCCTTAACATAGGTGAGGACTACTGTATAGCAGGAAATTTTGGAGGGAGTTAAATTTTGTGAATTGCTAAATTTTGATGATTGGCAAATTAAGATAAAGCATTAAGGAAGGAAGCAATATCATTGCCAAGAGTGGACCCACTCTTGCCAAGAGTTGCTTGTTATTGCATGAAGGATAAAGCATGATAATTATCCACAGAGATTCCATGAATAAAAATACACCATGAAGCTCTTTATCCTTAATCCAGTGTTTTTGCTTCTTACTATACCAGTTTGTATTACGCTCTTGTTTTATGCTTTTTCTACTTTTACTTTTAATGTTTTTGATTATTTTGTATAAATTGTAGCAAATAAACTAAAACATGCACTGATGGATACTAAAACTCTCCATTTTTTACAAGTGACTCAAGCAATTTTGATGAAACAATTTTATTAGTTATTTTGTTTGAAACAAAATAACTAATAAAATGATTGAAAACTAAAACTAACTAGATTTAATAGATTGAGCTGGTACACTAATTTGTGGAATTTCATTTATTTAGAGTCGTGCTGTAGTTTTTGAGCAAGAGCTGTATGAGGAATTTCACTATTCAAACCCTCGTCCTTACTTTCACTCATTCCCTGGACATGTAAGCTTTTTTCCCTTCCCTCTTTCACGTCCCAATTATTGTACTTGATTTCTCTTCTCTCCTCAGGAGTTCATGGTTGGTCTCAACTTTGCCAGTGAAAAAGAAGCCGAGAAGTTTCATGCTGCTGTTGAAAGCGGAATCACTGATGCATGTACAGCATGTAAGGTCTCTAGACTTTGAGCATAGACCTGCATGCTCCCTTTCCTCCATCTCTTTTTGTGTCTCTGGCTGTCTTTCTTTTTTCTTCCTTGTTATTAGTACTTATCTCTTTTGTCACTTTCCTTTTC